TACATGGAAAGTTGACTAATGGGGAGGTGAAATCATGCCCCTGTCATACACAATTGTGGATAGTTTTGTTGTCCTTATGAATCTCTATGCAAAGATCTAAATAGTGATAGATGAGGCGGTTGGTTTCACTGATCCCTTTTCTTTCTAAAACAGGTGAGTAAAGTAGTTGGCAATTGGCTGACCAACAATAGAAGATCATCGATAAACCGGAAGCAGATGTTATCTGTGAGAAAATCAAGCATTACACATAGTGCTGTCTCCGTAAACTTTAGAAACTGACCTGAAGAATGAAGTAACATTTGTGACTATATTTATGGTCATTACGTGGCAATGCCCCATGGATCAAGTAAGGAAGTTTTCCTGAAGTTTGTCGTGTGCATTAGTGATGTTCAAAGTTGAAAAAGATGTGTGTACATAATTGACTTTCTGAGTTTGCAGATATTTCACTTTGTCTGAAATAATTTCTTAGAATTAAAACAATCCTTTCTGGGCTGTGTCAAGGATTGTAGGTAATCTCTGAGACAGGGTTTGCGGGCACATTTGCTGGACCCAACAATACATCTCTCTTTGTACAGATAGTTATGGAGCTTTGGAATTCAGGACAACACGGAAATGTACAAGTTTTCAGGTTTTAGAGTCAAGCTAAAAGCTAACTGTATTGATGCGCGGTTTTATGAGATGTGTTCCTCATTTAACATAATATTAATGGTCTTATATGTGGTATTATGTGATATAGCACTGTCTGGAAAAGAAAAAAAGGAGCATGATCGGGGGATTTGATTTTGAAAGCAGTCCAACATTACATCTTTAGCCTTCACAGACGCTTCACGTAACATGACAAAAACGTCCTTGAGCCACATAACCAGTCTGTCATTGACATAAGATGAACATGTTTAGTCGTGATCCATGCTCAGTGATTGAAAGATCAATGCTCATCGTTAACATTATGCGAATGCGCTCTTACAAACTTTTACGTACATGTACGTAATGAGGTAGTAACGGATTACGTAGCTTCTTCACGTCGGCTTCTTTTGACCTGGATGAGCCAATCATCATCTGTCATATAAAACTGCGGCAATCATTGTGTCGATTTAATACATTTCAAGACGAAGACTGATTCTCCTCCTGCTGATGTTGCATTTCTTGAATATGTTGCCTTTACTAAAATTAATCATAATCCTATCGCTGCGGGTGAACAGTAATGACCAAACCAAAGACGAACAGGACATCTCACATGACATTATTGATAGTCCCATAACAAGGCATGAAATATTGGAGAGCTTTAGATCTCTCAATAACAATAAGTCTGCTGGCATAGATCATATTTCAAGTGAATACCTAAAGCACTCGTCAAATATTATTGCTCTATGTTTTGAGATATTGTTTAATTGCATGTGTGAAAGTGGTGTTTTTACTGGTAATTGGTCAACTGGCATCATAATACCTTTGCACACAAAAAGGAGATAAGACCAGTTCTGACAACTACAGGGCAATTCTTCTTTTAAGTATTACAAGATAAGTATTTACCTCAATTTTGGGGAGGAGTTTGGTGTATTGGACGAATAGCCTATCAAACATATCTAAATGTCAATCTGGATTCAGAAATACATATGCTAACGCAGATAATTGCTGTTCTAAATGCTATTGTCCAGCGTTGTCTCTCACGTAAGGGTGGCAATTTTTATGTTGCCTTCAGAGATTTTACAAGGGCGTTTGATTACGTATAACGTCATCTTCTGTGGAAAGTATTTCATAAACATGGTTTAAGCGCAAAAATGGGTAAAAATGTTACAATCAATTTATAGGGATGTTAAATCATGTGTTCGTTCAAATAGGGTTTTACTTGCCCTACTGGTGTCAGACAAGGATGTGTGCTGAGCCCCTTTCTATTTCAGTTCTTCATAAATAAATTCGTTATTCAGATGGATCATGAATGTCCAGAAGGTGTATTGTTACATCTAGATGTTATTCATGTTCTCTTACCTTTATTTGCTGGTGACTTGATACTCTTTTAGGATAGTGTAAGAAGGTTAAATTTTGTGACACGTGGCAAATATCAGTTAATATGTCTAAAACAAAGGCTCGAAAAGTGGTTTATTAAAGATGATAGGATTGAAGTTGTTTCAGGATACACCTTTCTAGGATTGTGCTTTGACAATCGGCTCAACTGGTCAATAATCTTTGATACCATAGCTTTACAAGCTAAACTGGTTTGGATAGCTATTTTGAGAAGTGTACATTCCCTACGTCCTTTTCCCTATGATTTCTACTTTATAATATTCGATAGTAAAGTTCTACCTATACTGCTCTAGGGTGCTTTAGTTTGGAGGTTTGAACACGTAAACAACTCGATATGGTACAGTTATATGCTTGCTAGCGGTTCCTTGGTGTAACCATGTCAGCATCAAACAATGGAGTGTTAAGGGAATGTGGTAGACACCCGATTCATGTACATGTAATTTACAAATGTGGTAAATATTGGCTAAATATTCTCACAATGTCTGAATGTCGCATATAAAAAAATGGGCTTATATGATGTGTATCTATGATGAACAAGGGAAGACAAATTGAATTACAAAGCTAAGAAATTGTATGTGTAAAAAATGGTTCAACAATGTTTGAGAGACAACTGTCAGCAAACATAGCATTGTGAACTATTTTGCTCCTTAAAGATGCACAGTTCAAAACTTTTGCAAATTGTTAAACCTATCTGAAACTCATGCTGTCAGTTAAAGCTAAAAACTGTTCTTTCAAGATTTCGATTAAGCTGTCATGATCTAGTAATCGAACGTGGGCGGCATGCAAACGTTCCACGAAATCTAAGTAAATGTAAGTTATGCAACTAAAACTGTGTTGAAGAGGAATATCACTTTAATTTTATTTGCCCCGTATTTGATAACTAAAGACAAACGTATATTAAATCCAAGTTCTAACTCCATCCAAACTATCACAAATTCATCCCCCTTTTATCATCGCAAGATCCTGACACTGTAGTAAATTTAGCTAAATACATTTATAATGCTCATGTTGAAGGAAATGTATTATCCAAAATTTAACAGTCTGTCTGTATTATTATATTCTGTACACAAAGGCCTGTGGCCTATACGTATTGAATAACAAAAATTGAACTAAAATTAAGACATCAAATTTATTTTTAGGGATGGTAAAACATGAGTTTGTTATATCAAGTGTTCGTTATGTTATGCGTTGCTTAAGGCGTGCATTATATAATACTTTCATTATTACAGATATACGTTATTTGATTGGGTGTTCATGGGTGTGCATAATGTACATTTCACCTGAACCAGTCTTATATTTTATTGAGTATTTAGATTACTTAAATATTACGGAGGGAAAGAAATGAAAAAAACATTACGTCTCCTTTTTATCGAATTAAAATAAACATAATCCCTTTTTTTCACCTCTGAAGTTTCGGTCTCTATTGAGATGTGAATGAACCGTTTCCTCCCTAATCTTTGATCACTTCATAGTTCACAATCTAGCTTGTGCACTTTGAACCTTCACATCGCTATGCTCTTCTTGCATCTTAGGCACGGATTTAAGATATTCCGACGGGAATAAAGTAACTGTGCTTCAAGTGTCAATGAACATAACAACAAAAGATTTGGTCATTCGTCTGATTAAAATTTTAAAATTCTCTGACAAATCACATAGCTGGCGACACGTCATAAAAGAGGGGTAGGTCTCACAACTCAATTAGCAATGTCCAATATCGGTTGTTACCACCATTTGCGTTGATAGAGGCACGGAAGTGGCGGCGGCGCATTGAAGACACAAGATGATGCTTGAAAACAGCCTGTCCACCAAAGATTGGCACAGCTCGGCTAGCGTTACCGGCTGGTTCTTGTCCTGTCGAAGGCGTCATCACATCTCATCACAGACATGGTCTATGATGGAAATGTCTTAAGAAACAACAAGCCATGGCAGTACAATAATGTTATGCTGCCTAAAACAGTCTGTTACAACACGTGCAACGTGAGAGCGGGCATCATCTTGCGGCAACGTGACCTTACGTCCCTGCACTTGCATCATTTGTCCCGTGGCAAAATCATGAGTGTTGCCCTGCTGTAGATAAGGTCTCCAAAGAGATTATTTTGTGTTTCGATGAACAATGAAATGTCTTGCAACTTCGTTTTGAGTCACTCTTTTTTGAAGCATAAAGGCGTTGATTTTCACCAAGCCGTGGCATTTGCGTAAGCGTTATTTACGTTTAAACGAAAGTGTTATGAGCACAATGTAGCGAAATAATCATTGTGTTCTGTTCACTTTAAATAGTCACCGGTGTGAGTATCATGCTCTCAAAAAGCATGCAAACATTCAAGTGTGCACCGTGCATTGGCATGCACGTGCAAATTGTTAATCACGACTCGAGGAGATGTATTTATGATTATGTATTGAAATATGCATTATTTAATTTCTTTATAAATTTCTTTTTAATGAACTTTATATGAAGCACAGTAAGTTATTCCGTTAGTATGAATATGAACAAGAACTAGAGCTTTATGATAATGCAAATTAATCGTTGTAAAATACGTTCAAAATCCATTGAGGCAAGAACATCGATGAAAGGAGATTGTATAAGAAGGAGAACTATGGCGATAATATATCATTCGACATCTTTCCCGCTTGGACGTCATGTTGATGGGAACATAATGTATGCCCGTATATGTTTCTTACCTTGGTGAAACCCACAAAGCGCAGGTAAGGTTGTGGCAGGCCGAGCAACATATTCGACGCAAATCTGGGAATCGGGCTCACACTCAACAGACCGAAAAACTAATTCAAAATTGATTGAATGTAATAATACCTCACCAGGAGGTTGTATTCAGTGTGGTAGACTAATATTAAACGAAATCGACTCTCATCACCTGAAAGTCGTTTATCTCGAATACCAATACAACAGCAAACTAAGTTGACATATCGACTATCAGCAATCCTTGTCATTTCATTATCCACAACACACAAACATTTTCGCTTACCAGTTGGAACAGCTTGGTCGATGTAGGAAGGACACGAAATGATTGCCTTTGTGCCAGCCCGAGTTGCCTCGAAGCAACTAAATCCATCCCATGTCGGTGGACAATAGTGACCAGGAGGGTCATAAAAGGTTATTGAAATTTGTCTCTGACAGCACATAAGAGCAGCGATGCAACATGATGACCATCGTCGGCAATCGTCATTTGACAGCGTGGCACATATCAAATCTTTAGATGTACTGTTCTCGATGTTGGGGGTGTATGAGGCGCTTCCGTTCCATGTATCTAACTTTGGGAAGTTTTTGGAACCGTTTGGTGTCAGTGGCACTGCGTCAGGGAAAAGGTAGCTGTAGCACATGGAACATGTCCATAACTTGAAGACCTCTTCAGGAAAGAGCCCTATCCGGTCGCGACACTCCATTGTCCAGATGGTCCCAACAACGTGCCGGCAACTATAGTCACTCACTCATGTAAGCATTGCCGAGCCTTTGAATCATCCACGATTCAGTTAACATACGACAATGGACTACGCAGCAAATCAGTGATGCCAGACAAAGAACGGTTTGTACCAATTACCGCATTCTCGTCATTGGTATAATGCCATGGCACTGCTTACACTGTAAGGGCATGGTCTCACGTGTTGTTTATTATAGGCAGATTAGTATTGATTTTCTTGAACTGTGTCAGTCTTTGTCAATGAAGCATCCTGAACGTCATATTAACAGTAGAGTCTGAAATGGAAACACAAGTAGGTTGCACGTCTAGTTTCAATGTTTGTTGAAGTCTTTTGATCTTATTAAAATGCAAACGAGTCTGAAAATACACAATGTTCATCATAAGTGTTTCCCAATAATTTCTGAAGTAAGTGTCACCATAAACTACGGTCTTCAATCACTATTTGTGTGACGTTTTGGTGTAATGCCGATTCAGTAATAACACGACATAATCGTCGCCTTAAAACAAGAGTGGTGTACTACAGTATTGAGATAATAGCTGTTGAAGTTTTGAAGTGTTGTCATTCTATGATGAAAGAATGAAGGAACCTGTAATATGTAGTATATTTTAGTTTGGATATCAGAAGCTTATGTTTATATATAGTTTCATTCTTAAGTGTTAAGTATTATCAAAACAAGCATCTGGTGACATGGAGATAGATTAAGATGATTCATTTTTAGAAACTCTCAGTTTTTCAAATCTGTTTTAAGCAGATATTACAACTAGAAATTAGCCTTTTCTGGATTTTTTCCCAAGCTATCATTCACCAGGGACTTCGTAAGCCAAATACTTTGGTCTCATTTCACCAACTTCAAAATTTTAGATGGATTGTTTAAATACTTCTTTAGCGTTAAGGGGCGGTCGGGTAGCCTAGTGGTTAAAGCGTTCGCTCATCACGTCGAAGACCCGGGTTCGATTCCCGACATGGGTACAAAGTGTGAAGCCCATTTCTGGTGTCCCCCGCCGTGATATTGCTGGAATATTGCTAAAAGCGGCGTAAAACCATACTCACTCACTCACTTACTTTAGCGTTAAGAAATTAGATGGCACACGCACAAGATACAAAAGCTAGTTTGAAAATCCAAGGTAAAGTTATGGCTCATTTCTGTTTCAAAATCATATTATATATCAACGAGAACATTTAATACATATGTAAGAACTCTATAGTTACAAAGGAATGTAGTGAGTTTACTATGAAATGAAAGAATAAATAAGACCTGAACATTTTCCCAAAATAATGTAAAAGATAGATTTTCATGATCTATTTTTCAAAGATTGATAAGTCAAACCTTACGTACATGTATATATCTAATATCCTTCAATTTCTAGGTGACTTCTTACCAGACAGTTTGCTTGGGCTAGGCTGTCGTATAAATTTCACAAAATCTTAAAACAACGCGCAAAACGTATCATGATATTTAAACTGTATGGAAGCAAACCACTGCTATGAGATTGATTGAGTTAGTGAGTATGGTTTTACGCCGCCTTTAACTATATTCCAGCAATACTATGTCGGGAGACACCAGATATGGGCTTCACACTTCGTACCAGTGTGGGGAACGGTAACCGTATTTTCAGGGTGGCGCTTTAACCACTAGGCTGGCAACCCCTCCTTCCCAAAACTTACATTGAAAGAGAATAAATGATGAGGCGCAACACTACACTATTTACTCAAGGCTAGCAAATCGTTAAAATGAAGGGGTTGTCGAGAATGAGAGATGATTGAAACTTCTGGAACTGTAAGAGCTTTGAGATTCAAATGAATGTAACTGTAAATGTAACTATGAACTCGTTCGACAGTCACCACGTGACGTGTTTATGGCAACAAACACAAACTTTTTATGCACATTGTGTGAGAGGGGGATGCTACTGGTAAGGCAAGATATGCTTAAATTACACTTTTCACGAACACCTGGTGTTATCACTGATTTTTAGTGACCCATTCATAAGATTATTACCACTATTTTGTCTTTTTACGCAAATCGGAATCTGATTCCCAGGATTTTTGAGGAGATATGATCTGGGGTAGACGTTCGATATTTATGACTGAAAAGTCACCATCAATGATGTTCTAACTTTATGTGCTCTAAGTTTGACAGCCCGATCAAGAAAGCAAGAACTGACACTCGGACTCTAACCACGTAAGATTTTCAGCAATAGTGACAGAAGTGTATTCAAATGCAGAAACATTGGTACCAATACCAGCGTTGGGAATCTGGAAGTATCTGAACCAAACAGAATTTCTTAACAGCCAATGAAGCTGCAAGTTCTCTCATATATAACACGATGTCTCTCCAAATTCTAGATGCATTTTCAATGATTTCCTTGAATCTTTTACATGTCCTCACTGGTCCAAGAGAACATCGAAAGAAAGAAACATCAAGGGGTGAATAAGGAATTCAACTAGCAGTGAGTGAGTATGGTTTTACGTCGCTTGTAGCAATATTACAGCTATATCACGGCGGGGGACACCAGAAATGTTGGGAATCGAAGCCGGGTTTTCGGCGTGACGATAAAACGCTGTAACCACTAGGCTACCCGACCCTCACCTAGCATACATGTTTGTTCAAACTCTATTACATGTCATGATATTATTGGTTCAAAAAGATGGTGGTGAATTTAGCTTCAGACTGTTCTAACTCCTTTTCAAATTGAAATGAAAAAGCGAACTATATTATGACACACGTTTCATTTATCTAATTGAAAATGCAAGTTACTGATAATATCATCATGCTGAACATATGTATTTTCTTTGTTATATTGAATTTGAGAGCGAAATCTCCGTTTTCAATTGTCTGCTTGGTCCAACTTTCAGTACCAACCTATTCTATCTCCATGTCACCTGACATGAAAACGGTTTGTCATTGGACAGTTACATAGACTAGTTTGGACCTTACAACTCTCTTAGATTTGGGACTTTGAGGCGACGTAATGGTTTGACTCGGGTATCTTGTTGCAGACCAGGATCATACTTCTCTTTCATTACCAACAATGAACAAAACTTTATGGAACAATATTTCAAAGACTGTTGCATATACAAGCTATAACATAGACTTTCATATCAAATTGAATTAATACCACTGACATCTTTTAAGATTTACCATATTACACGTATTATGACCTCAGTTTTATTTCCAAAACAAACCACAATTCCCAAGATTGCTTTTGATTTCCCATTTAATAGCTTCCAGCATTTTTCTACATTCTACAGAAGCATAAATATCAAACTCTGTTATCATATATCTGTCTGCAACTTATAATTAGCATGCTCTCAACGAGTTGAGATCCATCCTACTTTTTACGATTATCCCTGTCCATAACATTGCCATTGTCGTTTGGTTTTCGTGTCATCATTTTGAAACTGATTAAATAAGAATAAGTAATACCGTTCCTTTTTTATGACAAAGCAGGATAATCGATAACTTAACTTTCACAACTAACAGATGGGAAAAATCAGTTTACATAATTTTGAAACAGCTAATAAAGAAGGCAAATTAACATGACAAACATAACATTCCAAAAATAACCCATTTGTTCTTCGGAAACATTGCAACTGAGTGAATATCAACAGTATCGGTTGTACTCGAACTTACCTGTTGTTGCCGCAAGGTGAATCCACGATCTAATTCCGCCACAAAACAAATACCCACCGCTTGAGGATTTAGCGTATAATGGAGTGCTCTTCCTATATATCATATGAAGAAACTGGTTAATTCATTTCTTTCACGAAATCCTAAACTCACTTCACGTCCAGCTGTTGAGATGACAATGTCCGGTTCAGCGTGAGTCTGCTGTCTCTTGTAATGGCGGTCTTTTGACAGGTCAGTTTTTTCTGGTAATCTCGAGAGTGACCACGCACTTGCTAGCAGCAGGAGACATGGTGATCGGTGTGGCTTTCCACACAGGCATTTCCTCGAGGTCTTAGCATCATCTGGCGCCCATCGATCCACCACCGCACTGCGACTACTTGCTGGTATTAGAATAGGCACATGATTCATTTGATCGGTTTTGTGAAGCGGTTATAATTAATAAGGGATTAGTCAGTGAACGTTTTGATATGTTGAAATACTTGTTAATCCTAGTTTCACTCAGTTTCATTTCAACATAGGTTATTACATTTTTGATTAGGTACATATATATTCGCTTTGACGTGTGAAAACACAAGGTTTGGAAGCAATAGAAAGTACTACACTTTAGTATGCACAATGTAATTAATATTCTATACCGGGAATACACTTTCCTTCATCCATGCTTCGCTTGGAGATGCTATGCTACGCTGTGCCATGCCATGCTATATATGTTACAAGTATGCTTTGCCATCATGTGCTCTGCTTATTCCTCTTGACAAAAGGACAATGCTGTGTTACACAACATGTATTTGAGAGTGAAGGTCGCAAGCTCCAAAGTTCATATAGTTTAGCCCTCACTCTTTGACGGTTCATACTCCACTGAACTCACATAACGGGAAAGAAACTTCTTACAGTTTTTACTCAATATGTTTTACCGCAAAGGATGTAGATCAAACCACAATTTTATTTATCTGCGTTGCCCCCAGCTACAACTCACAAGACACTCCCCTCGCAAATATAACGTTGTCAAATATACGACGTGATCAAGTTGCGAGCGCATGTTCGAATCTCAAGAAATGACGTCATGATAGAACAATGTTTCATCGTGAAATAAACCACACTTCGTTCTTCATTGTTCTTTGTGATTTATCGCGTAGCTACCCTATATTTAAGTTTTGTTTGTTTGTTTGTTGTTTAAAGTCGCACTCAGCAATATTCCAGCTATATGACGGCTGTCAGTAAGTAATCGAGTTTGGACCAGACAATCCAGTTATTGACAACATGAGCATCGATTCACGCAATTGGGCCTTTTACGACAAGTATAGTCGCCTTTAACGGCAAAGAAGACCTAATCTACCCAGGATCTTCACGGGCCCATATATTTAAGTATAAAGCCCGAGCCTGATAAATGCTAATCCAGACGAGTCCAGCTAACTTGCGCTGCATTGATACATGTAACAGTTTTCTTAACATTTGAAAAATTGAAATTATAGTAAGAACCCACGTTTGTCACAGCCTTGCCCTCAAGTAGCTCGTGAGAGTCAACTTTAGCATAGATTCACTGTAGTCAATCGGCAATCTGCTGTGTTGTCGGACAAGTGAAACCAGTGGATGATCCAGGCCCTCTGCATATGGTGTCGCACAATTATACGATATTACACTTGTGTCAGCTTAACATAACGTTTTGTCCCGAGTAAAGTTAATTTCTGTCAAACTGAAAATTATTTTACGAAAACAATATATTTGATATGAGATCGTAGTGAATGTAATATTCTATTTATTACCACATATGGAATTTGAAAAAGAGTCAACACATGCTGTATTTTCTGTTAAAGGCCACTCTTTACTTCCTTGCTAATTCGATATAATTATATAACGTATGAAACGTTAACGTATGTCGTTCATACACTTATGAACGTCAGTTTCGCTGTCATGTGACCGACCTCTCGTCAAACGGAAAAGCCCTGTGTCGGATAAAATTCACATTAAGAAATTATATCGAATTTACCCCATAATAGATATATCTCAAATAGTATTTCTTAAAAGGGTATTGCCCCTAATAGTCTAATACCTAAGTTTACAGCGTTTGGTGTGAGATTATAGTTCTGGGACACTTAATTCCCCCAATAACAACATTGACCCGCTTGATTCTCTTCTAACATTGATTTGACAAAATGAGGAACGATACATACATATGACTCGTCTACTTCCTATGGATGTAGTCCAAACTCGATTACTTACAGACCGCCGTCATATAGCTGGAATATTGCTGAGTGCGACGTTAAACAACAAACAAACAAAACTTAAATATAGGGTAGCTACGCGATAAATCACAAAGAGCAATGAAGAACGAAGTGTGGTTTATTTCACGATGAAACATTATTCTATCATGACGTCATTTCTTGAGATTCGAACATGCGCTCGCAACTTGATCACGTCGTATATTTGACAACGTTATATTTGCGAGGGGAGTGTCTTGTGAGTTGTAGCTGGGGGCAACGCAGATATACGCGATTGCTGAACGATCGCATCCAAAAGCGGGAGAGATATGACAATCGGTATTGGGAGAAAAGGTACAGGTAATCGACGTGTTGAATGTGAGAATATGCGGAAAATACCCACCTGTACATAAAATGAACTGTCCGACATTACCGAGGTCGGATTCTATTGAGGGAGTCATCATTATTTAGATACGGATAAATATGTTTCAATCTTGCACATTGTATCATAATCCTTAAAGAGGCCGTACATACATGGTGATGTCTCATATAAGGAACAAACGACAAGTGGGAGTTGTTTATCGTACAATAAAACAGTGCAGAGAGAATAAACCGCTTGGGGATCATGACTTATTCTCCATGCAGTGTTTTATTGTACGATTAACAACTCCCACTCGTCGTTTATTTCTTAAATAAAAGTGCAGGTGTTTGATTATACATGAAGATAAGAAAATGCTTTTTTGTTGGTTGAAAACATGGAATTGCGTTCTTAAAATAGATGAAATGGCTTTACACATACTGTGCATGGAGTCATTTGAGTTCGGGAGAGCTGTCGTCCCTATGCACGTGTACATGACTGTGTTTCTTTACAATATATCTCTTTCAAAGCCTCCAGCCAATGCAACGAACGCTCTGGAGCTTTGGTGTTATGTGGCATCGATATTCTTTTTTGAATCACCTTATTAAACATCATACCTACGGCAAGTGAGCAGTCAACACATTCTTATTCCCATAACCCAGTGGGTACACCTAATGTCTACTTCCTAACTTCTACTTGATCGATCATGCTTTTATGTGGTTTATACACACATGGGGTGTTGGGCTACAATATGTGACCTAACATTAACTGATTGTCTTGACGGCTTGGGTAGCTGCTTATGTTATCGACATCTAGATTTTTTTCTGTTCCAGATTCGACCATAAGCTGTCATGTTTCTGACAGCGACGTAAAGCAACATTCTCTAAATAACTCATTTATATGCATGGTTATGGATGGATTTGTTGGTCTTTTCAATTGATCGGGTTACGTTTCCACATGTTTTATACCCATACTTTGATAAGATGCTGTCCAGTCGCAAAGACCTATCATACGCTATTGTATGTAAGTCTCATACGTTTAATTAAGGATAAAAATTAGCGTTGCTTAATGAAATGTGGGCCTTATACACACAGTAGATTCTGATAGATCTTGCTCATGGCGTATGAATCTTGTAACTAAGTATGTGCAATTCAATCTTTTCTTGTCACATTTGGACCAACTTCAGTTAAAGGTCCGCTCATCATGGATTAAATAATGACCGTATCGGGATATAATGGTACTGGCTCGGTGATAGGAGGCTTGTATCTGTCGCGGTATCTGTCTGCCTTGACACACAGCACAAGATCATATTTTGCGTTAACAGCAGGTGCAGCACCCAATACTCTGAAATTATTTAATCGATGGGAATAGAAGTATACACCACGTGTTTAAATGGCAATGGTCATTGGACAAGTTATCGTGACTATGCCTTGAATTTGATCTCTTATGGTCGAACTGTCCATAATTAAATTCCACCTTTCGAATGTACACGCATTTACAGTTTGGTAAGCTTTGTGACTCTCAGTGCAATGAATTCATCTTTATATACATGCATTAGGCCTTCACAATTGCAGTCGTGTTGCCACCTATATGTATTGAAGTCAATAGAGGACGTCGTGATATCTGACGTGTAAGCTAAAGCCAATGTTTAAAAGTAAGCGGTGGTGCATGTGACGTCGATATCGTTAAGGAATCTGTAATCGAAGATCCCTTTAAACTGGGCTATTTTGGTACATGCTGGGTATTACACTAAGTTCCAAATTAGATATATGTTAGGTCGTTACTGTCAGCGAGAACTCCTAAGGCACGCTCTTGATTACGACTTCTTTACATTGAAGTAAGAAAACTGGTCGATATGGCAATATGTTTATAACCTGGGGCCTTTCATCACAAGATGGCAACGGAAATGTTGAAACACGGGGTTGGTCGACAGAACACCATTCTGTAATTTGCATCAGTGCCGTGCCTGTTGTATGGTCTTCGTGTGATCAATATTGTTTCATACTTGAGTGAGTTAGATTTCACAGGTATCCAGTGACATCACAGCGTGTCAGTTTAATGTCAAACGAGAGGCTGACGCAGAGGTTAATGTTGGGAAAATCAGTGCATTACCGATCAAAACTTTTGTATTTCGTGTACACAGGTTTCTAATATGTTTCGTTTGTGTCGCGTCAACAATAAATTTAATAAATACATCTAGGCTTGGAAGAGTATATAACTATTATTTCCCATGTTGTCATAAACATCCGGGCAAAAAGAAAGTATACACTTGAAAATTGGATTTGACCAAAAAATTAAAAAACGTTATCTTAACGTTACTAGGCTGAAACAATGTAAACTCAAGGTTCAAACCCGTTGGTTTGGGAGATACACGTGGAGCAGTGATAAATCGCCAAACACCATTTCTTTTGCATTGGAAATGCATTGGATCGTTGCCAAAACACCACAGGTAATGTACAAGCATAAAAGATGTGCAACGTATAATTGTAAAACAGAGAGAGGCGACCATAGGAACGAGGCAAATGGGTGTCAACCACACCAAGATTGCAAGAAACCTCAACTGTGCACGGGCAACCATATTCAGACTGTTTGAACTCTACAGACAGCCCGGCACTACAGAGGACAGTGCAAGATCAGGCGTCACGACGCAATAGGTTGACCAGTCCTTGTGGACAAGGCCGCCACAGCGACGGATCAGTCGCCCCATCAGTTGACGCGCTGTGCTACGTCATCCCCACGTGTGACGTATTCGAGCCTACCGTCCTTTCCGTAGAATGGCCTCGGCTCATGAACATAATCGTTGAAAACGGCACTGGTCAAGGACAGTAGAACGCTTGCAGTTATGTGACTAGAAGGGAGTGCTGTTTACTGAGAAAAGAGATTCTGCTTATTCGATAATAATGGTCATGGTGTTACAATTCCTTTGCTACAGGGAACACTTGCAGCAAGAAAACGCTAGGCAGCACACTGCAAGGGTCGTCCTAGATTTATTGGCTGCGCACAACGTCGGTGTTACTCCATGACCAGCTCGCTAACCAGACTAAAACCCTACTGAACGTTTGTGGGATCATCTGGATCTTCAGATCAGGAGGCGTACTCATCCACCACAAAACCGCTTACAGCTAGAAGCCGCACTGAGAGACGAGTGGCAACGGATTCAAAATGACATCATCGATGAGACGGCGAGTCTGGGCGCCCTTTAGTGCTCGTTGCAGTCATATTCGCTATTGGTATCTTTTGAACTCAAACTGATCATGGCAATACCTGCTTCACCCTTTTCATTAATGTGCACTGAACCCTACAAGTTCCTCGAGACGCAATGTGAACGTTACCAGTTGTGAGACACTCAGTTGATATGGTGCATGTAATATATGATACCCGTATCAAATACATCACCGTCGAATAACTATTTCTTGTTCCTTTAATTTTCAGCCACCCTCGACGTGGATGTATACTTTTGTTTGCCCGGCAGTGTATATTGTTCTGTGAAATACAGAAATGATTACAGTTTGGCAAAACACTCGAATGAACAAAATGTGTTCAACCATTTTATTAGTTTGACATTAACTGAAGCGAAATAGGTTATCGTTAACACTATTTCTACATTAAAGTAAAGCATAATAATATAGCTATATCATTTCGCGATCGACATCTCGAAAGAAATCCCATGTTTAAATAGCACAAGGGCGCTGGCATGTGACTTTGTGTCATTAGTTATAGTAAAGGATTAATGAACTTATTACACTAACCTACTGCAGTCCAAGGTGTGAACTATTGCTTTCACCCGTACCACAATGACTGTCATCTTATCTTCATGTGAGGGTAACTTATGTGTCTTCACACAGCTATCTTATCTATTCAGACGAGTCGATAGAGATACATGTTCAGCACGTTTTAGTCTGTTGTACGTCAGTGACCAACACAATAAGGCAAGTAATTGAGGACATGACATGCATTTACATTTGAGTGGTTTGATAGTTTGGTTATAAATAACATATTTTAAAATAAGTTGTTCTCAGTATCATCACGTATACACATTGTTTGTTCGTTTAGAAATTAACCAACTTCTAATTAACAGCATTAAATGGTAGTTTTGTTATAACAGCAAAGTGATAAATCTACACATGTCTTTGAATGTTGTAGAAGGTTACATTTCAAGATGAGAGCTACGATTCTTCCAGCGCTGGTGGTCATTGCATTCGGGTAACTGTACATTTTAATATATATGGCTAGAACGTGTTCTCGTATTTGAGTGCATACAGTCTTAGGAAAAATGGGGGTTTGTCGAATTTTGAGAAATGCCCTAAAATTGAAAAAGTATTTGGAATTGAGGGAAAAGTCCTGCCCACACTTCGGGCCGCTTTAATGTATGCGAGTGGATTTTCTTTTCTTTTTCTTTTGACTCTTTGTCTCTTAGTTCCACTGGCCTTTCTGCTCTTTCAGCAGATATCATACTGTTAAGGGTAACATAACATTCTGCGTCATCATTTGACGTAAAAACCCATGTTCGCCCTATTATGATCCTTGGGCTATCAACACTTATGCTCTGTTCGTTGATTTCACCGTAGTACTAAACGTATATTTGGATCTGTCCTCCCAGAATACTCAGTCACTCATCGCTGTCATCACTGCAACATCTACCTCTACTACCTACACTATTTCAGCTACACAACTATCATCGCTACCATCGCTATCACCATAACAACGGCTACCACGACCAAAGCTACCGATAAAACTATATAATCACTACAACATCTACTACCACATCAACCACTAACACGACTACAACACTAACCACCACTATAACATCTACCATCAATACCATCTCTACCACAACCAACATTTCAATCATTGCAGCATATACAACGAACACCACCACAACGGCAACCACCACTAAAACAGCTCTCACCGCTACCCTCACTACAACAGCTATCACCCTTACCAACACTGCTACAACTTACCAACACTGCTACAGCTTCCACTTCCACTACGACTATTACAGCAGATTAAACCACTACAACATCTACCCGTACTGCAACACCTACTACCACTACAGCAACAACCGCACAACAACAGCTATCAAATCTACAACAGATATACCATTACAATGGCTATCACGACTACCACAACTTCCAGCACTACTGAGGCAACTAACGCTATCACCAATACAACTACCAACGCTAAAACACATACCCCAACAAAAACAGCAAAAGCTGCCACCAAAACGACAGCTTCCACTCCAGTCATCACTATAAAAGTTGCCCCGACCGATTAATATTTTCATTCGAAGTCTTAAAAGGACGCTTCCGAGAGAGTATATTTGAACTGTTGCAGTATTTCAGTCGTTTCTCCATAACCCTGAAATATATCGTCTGAATATCTGATGACAGCATGTGTTCACGAAACGGGTAAGCATGATGGCCGTATCTGTGGAGGAGGTGAACAAATCTGAATATTTCATCATTATTAGCGTGTTTGCATGCTTTCAAATGGATTTATAACGTCAGGTCTGACGCTGGTCGTGTATTTCAGTCAGCACCATACCGTGTGGGAGCAAGTGTTCATGTCTATAGATCTGGACCACGACGGCCAGTTCTCTCTGAAGGAGTTCCACGTCATCATCCCCAAGTTCGACATCAATGGTACGTGTCCCTTCATCTTTTCAAAAACTACGTGCCCATTTACTATGTAAGTAACGGGTCTTGTATCAGAAGTACGTATGAAATATTGTTGTATATAACATTGAACTCAGACCTGGAACCATTATGACAAAATGTAACAAAATAAATATTAGAAATGTGTCATAAAAAGGCATCATCAAAGAAACAATTAATCCTAGTGCTACCTCGGATAAACCATTAGCGTTTACTGATACTGACAAGGCTGACGTTCTTTATATCAAGTGATGGTGAAGCTACTAATCATCTTTTACCTCCCTTCGAACATTGTTGTGAATCCTTCCTAACAGATATCTCCCGACCATAAGCAAGATATAAGTGATATCGATCTTATCAAAGTTTAACTTCGTAATACAACACCATGTGCATAGAAACGTCATGCCATTGTAAGTTATTAGAGAAAATTGTTTTGAAATATTTACACAACCATTACCCACTCCGGATTTGTTCCAAGGCACTCTTGGGTCTCACAATTACTTGTATAATAACTATAAAAACTATCTGACAGAGAATATATGTTACAACAATATGGCTAATGAACGTATAACAGCAGAGTTGTTGGATTTTATAAGACTGATCACATCTTGTGTTTATGCCTATTGATAAACATCGGAATATACTTTTCTCTAAGATGTTCATACTTATCACATACTAATAAAACATGAAATTCATCCTCAATTTCTCCTAATTGGCAGTTTTTACAGGTACCCATATCAACGTCCCTTTTTTCACATCTACGTCTAAATTTTACAATGAAATTGTGTAATGACACTCTGGATTTACATAATGCCCTACCAAGCGATTAATCATATAACATACTTATATACTTCTCTAGTTCTATAGCAGATTTGATAACCTTGTAATGGCTAAGGAAACGAGAAGAAGATATACTATCATGCCAGTTTTGACTATACATATCCTGTAACCTTTGTTTGAAAGAGTATAATAAAACAATTGTATCCCCTACATCTTGGGATATCCACACAAAGGAAAAGTCACATGAAAATAATAAATAAAGTTAGTAAGTAGGAGAAGCTTAAAGTAAGAAGCATGTACTTTTTCAATGGCGTCATTATATTTTGCGCCTCATATAGCAAGATTGGCGCGATTTTGCCGTAAAATATGGAACAAGCTGTAGAAAAGTAACTATATATATTGCTTGAAAAACTTATAGATAGGTATAATTGCTTTTGATGCTTACGGTGCTAGTTGTTTGCACGAAACTGACCATGATAGTTTAGATGATAGCGTCAAGCCTAAATATTTATAATAAGTAGCATTTTTTAAGGCGAAATCACTATATGTATATATATATAGCCGAAACAGAAAGTAGTTTGAACTGGTAGCCTATCGTCATTGAATAAGCTTATAACATTTAACCCAAGCACAATAACACACACACACACACACACACACACACACACACACACACACACACACACACACACACACACACACACACACACACACCACAATCACACACACACACACACACACACACACACACCACAATCACACACACACACACACACACACACACACACACACACATGGTTTTACTTGTTTGTTTGGTGCTTAACGCCGCACTCAGCAAGAGCCAAGCTATATGACGGAGGTCTGTAAATAATCGAGTCTGGACCAGACAATCCGGTGATTGACATCATGAGCATCGATCCACGTAATTGGGATACGATGACATACATCAACCAAGTCAGCGAGCCTGACAAGCGTTAGTCGCCTCTTACGGCAAGCATGGGTTGATGAAGACCTAATCTACCCCATATATATCTTTTTTCTGGTCCTCAAAATTCGGCTTATACGCGGTCATTACGGTATGAAAATCCTTATGATCTTTTAACGTAATCCTCAATCCTCAACGACAATGCATCTCACCTTAGCTAGGAATAGAAGAGCAAATATACTAATCATTCAAATAAAAGCGACAAAAAACATTTCCATAATCGAATGTATGATAAGGATATGTGTTTGCGTATCACTAGGGATAATACAAGTCAAACAAGGGAATTGCATCGGACATCACCGAAGCGTCAAATGTCTACATGTCTCTTACGTAAACCGTTTTGAAAGCTTTGCTGATGCCTTGAATTTAGTTTGCCTGATCACAAGAGTGATACGTGAAGACATTGCTGTAGTTCTCTTAATGCTGGTTTGTTTAAAGTCAGTATGTCAACAAACGCGAAAATGCAATCAGGACGTCATTGTATAACAACGTATTCTCAGTTGGAAGTCATATTTTCGATCCGGAGATATAATATTTTATAAAACATACTGCAATGTATCCTAACTGACATCTCGTATTTTATCAACTTCTCACCAGATGACTACTATACCGTATTGACCACAACGATATTCTATGTATTCTTATGTTAATATTTTAGCGGAAGAATTGCACTGTATATGTTTGCACTTTATTTATTCCAATGTTCAATATTTACAATATTGTCTGTTGTCTGTATATCTAATAGCTTTTGCCATTGACCTCTTAATGTCAATAAAATCTTTAAAAACAAAACACCAGCTTAGAAAGACACACGGATCATCAGTTTTGCACCAGTCAAATGACCGATGTTCAAGGTGACGGACTCATCTCAGAGGCGGAGTTCATGAGCGTGTGGGATCACGCTACCGCCGCAGCTCACGATCTGGCACGCGATGACTCTGCGGGGAGGAAGCTGTTCAAGATGGAGGACCACGACCATAACGGCAGTCTAACCATGACAGAGGCTATGAACATCTTTACAACTGCCTTTGATTCAAACAGTAGGTTTGGATTCTTACCTTATGGGGATTTGGAAATTGTTCACAAAAAAAGCCGTAATAGCAGAACCAATGCTGCAGATCTAACCGTAGGTGCAGGCGTCTGAAAGTAGTGTACAATACAAGCTGTAGTAGAAGTACATCAAGCTAATGCTGTTCATGCTACGAGTAGATGTAAGTTGAGGAAATTCTTCTTGGGGTACACCTAGTACGTATCAAAACTTGTATTAGGTGTATGTAGGGTAAATGAAGTTCATATTAGAAGTTGTATTAGTTGTATGTGGGGTAAATGTAGTGCATATTGGAAGTTGTATGCGTTGTATGTGGGGTAAATGTAGTGCATATTTGAAGGTGTATTATTTGTATGTTGGGTACATGTAGTGCATATTAGAAGTTGTATTACTTGTATGTGGGTAAATGTAGTGCATATTTGAAGCTGTATTAGTTGTATGTTGGGTAGTACATGTAGTGCATATTGGAAGTTGTATTAGTTGTATGTGAGGTAAATGTAGTGCATATTGGTAGTTATATTAGTTGTATGGTTAATAAATGTAGTGCATATTGGAAGTTGTATGAGTTGTATGTGGGGGAAATGTAGTGCATAGTATAAGTTGTATTGGTTGTATATGGGTTAAGTGCAGTGTATATTCGAAGTTATATTAGTTGTATGTTGTTGAAATGTAGTGCATAGTACAAGTTGTATTAGTTGTATGTGGGGTAAATGTAGTGCATATTGGAAGTTGTATTAGTTGTATGTTTGGTAAATATAGTGCATATTGGAAGTTGTATTAGTTGTATGTGGGGGAAATGTAGTGCATAGTTCAAGTTGTATTGGTCGTATGTGGGGTAAATGTAGTGCATAGTACAAGTTGTATTGGTTGTATGTGGGGTAAATGTAGTGCATAGTACAAGTTGTATTAGTTGTGTGTTGGGGAAATGTAGTGCATAGTACAAGATGTTTAGCTGTATGTGGGGTAAATGTAGTGTATATTGGAAGTTGTCCTAGTTGTATGTGGGGTAAATGTAGTGCATAGTTTTAGTTGTATTGGTTGTATGTGGGCTCAAGGTAGTGCATATTGGAAGTTGTATTAGTTGTATGTTTGGTAAATGTAGTGCATATTGGAAGTTGTATTATTTAGCTGTATGTGGGGTAAATGAAGTGCATATTGGAAGTTGTCCTAGTTGTATGTGGGGTAAGGAAGTGCATATTGGAAGTTGTATTAGCTGTATGTGGGGTAAATTTAGTGTATATTGGAAGTTGTATTAGCTGTATGTGGGGTAAATGTAGTGCATATTGGAAGTTGTATTAGCTGTATGTGGGGTAAATTTAGTGTATATTGGAAGTTGTATTAGCTGTATGTGGGGTAAATGTAGTGCATATTGGAAGTTGTATTAGCTGTATGTGGGGTAAATGTAGTGCATATTGGAAGTTGTATTAGCTGTATGTGGAGTAAGTGTTGTGAATATTCGAAGTTGTCCTAGTAGTATGTTGGGTAAATGAAGCTCATATTGGAAGTTGTGGCATGTGGTGCTTATGACACCAATACATGCATCATAGAGCTGCCATGATACGTTTGTGGGTTTTTTCGAATCTCAGAAAAAGTATTAGTCCACGAGCCTGCGCCCTCTGGATATTGCAGTGAAAACAGTGTCAATGTGCGAGTTGTATTGCAAATAATGTGTACATAATTAAATTAGTAACTCCTGGATAAGAAAACCACATTATAAATCATTAGTGCTATTGTTTATCCTTCTGCGTTTATCATGATTATTTGCTTATATTAGGTGATGGTATGATTACCAAACAAGAATTCAAGATGGCATGGTTTAAAGTAAGTACATATCATTACTAAGAAGTTATCCCTGGGTAGATCAGATATCAAATGTTTTGCAATATCATCTTAGGATTAAATCTACAGTACATATAGTATATTAGTTTAAGAAATTCTGATCCATATATTTGTTAACGTGAACAATAACGCTGATATTGATGCATTACTTAGGCTATGTCTGTCAAATACATAAGTTTTGTATTGTTTATAGTGCAGACGACCCGTGAAGATCCGTGGTAGAATAGGTCTTCTGCAACCCATGCTTGTCGTACAACTCGACTATGCTTGTCTTAAGAGACGACTAATGAAATCGGGTGGTCAGGCTCGCTGGCTTGGTTGATGCATGTCATCGTATCCCAACTGCTCACGATGTCAATCGCTGGATCGCCTGGTCCAGACTCGATTATGTACATACAGACCGCCGTCATATAGCTTGAATATTGCCGTGTGCGGTGTTAAACAACAAACAAACATTATAATGCAACTTCATGACTGATATTTACACCTTCAACCAATGTACACTCCGAATACGCTTTGCGGACAGTCCAAAGTCCAGCAAGGCATATACAATTGCTGAATATATTGGCGATCGAGTGGTAGGAATGTGTGATCTGGTTTGTTCTGTCGCTTCGATCGTTTGTCTGTACGAGACTAGACTATTTACAAGTGATATTTACTCAGTGATTTTTACTTAGTGATTTTTCTAGTGCATATTGCAGTGTAAAACCAGCTATCATACCATCACACGGACTGGACAAACATAGGTAACAATGTCAGGGGAGTCTTGACCCGATGATCCTCTATATGAAGTTGTTATTCATAATTATGCATCTGCCATTGCTACGGATTCATCCTACCTTATCGAATGTAACAGTGCTCAATTCCTCTCCAGATTCATGACCATGGTGGACATGTGCCCACGGGAACGTCCATTCTTGGATAAGAAGATCAAATAAATGTACAACATGTTTAATGTTTGTTTTTTAGTGAGTAAGTGAGTGAGTATGGTTTTACGCCGCTTTGAGCAATATTCGAGCAATATCACGGCGGGGGACACCAGAAATTGGCTTCACCCATTGTACCTATGTCGGGAATGGAACCCAGGCCTTCGGCGTGACGAGCGAACACTTTTATCACTAGGCTACCCGACCGCCCCTGTTTTTTCAGTAAATGAAAGGTCAATATTGACCTTGATTCCTTTGTACTGATGACTTAAAAATACAAATATCTTTTTATTATTATGATACATGTACATGCATTTTTAATAAAACCTAACCGATTAATACCATTTTCAACACAATTGAATTGACCTGCATTTCAGTGAAAATTAAGTCTTGTAATCGACTATCAAAACAGAAGCTCAAATAATGCACATTTGAAGAGAGGCCAATCGTATCTTTGGACCTACGTACTGAGAACCGTTGACGCGGCGTTTTATGCGTTGTCACAAAATATTCATGGAAATGTAAATTTCTATATATTTACACATTATACGCATTTATTTGACGTGGACAGCAGTGCGGTCTTATTTATATATTGAAAGGCAATGTTTGCTTTGCCATATGCTTATTAGCATGTTCCAGTTAGAATGAAATGAATGAACCTAGGACACCTGCTCATCGTATTTTCTGTACACCACACGTCACAGTTTCACGCTAGATTTATCCCCTAAGTTTGGAAAGAACATGTAAAAACTGATATTTCCAACTTTTCCATGAGTGGAAATACAGATTGTAGCAACTGTGGCAGGTCTTCGTAATCATCACAAGTCTGTCTTTTCTATGCATTCTTTATTACAAGAACGGTACTCATAGTTTCGTAAAAAAAAAATATCTCTGTTATCGAAAGCATACAACTGACATCGTTCTGTTTTTTTTCGTAGCATCGCATAGTCAGACTATAGAAGCAGAAACGGAAGAAACCGAAGAAAGAAATATTAACTCTTCACGCGGAGAGCTTTGAAGGGGAGTCAACTCTTCGTATTTTCAACCTCTAAAAATAAACATCCTGATCTACCGTTGCACTGATCATTCCAAAATTTCTAGCAGTGGGAAGAAAGCTTTTCCCAATTTTCTAAAATACATGAAAGGCTTTTGGAATCCATTGAGTACAGTGGATTGTTAATTTGGACAGGACATATTGGTCATATTTATTTTTATACGTAGTTATATTGCTTGTATAGGATAAATATTATGTTATCTTGCTATATTTAAATCCATTTGAGTACAGTGGATCCATTGAGTACAGTGGATTGTTAAATTGGACAGGACATATTGGGCATATTTATTTTTATACGTAGTAATATTGCTTGTATAGGATAAATATTATGTGTATCTTGCTATATTAATGGAAAATGTTTAAAGACATTTTTCATTAATATTAGCAACATGATTTAGTTTGACGTGACCTCCACTTGCATTCGAAACCAAGGTTTTGCAAAAATGTTACAAATAAAAGAACTGAAACTTCAAATCATAATTCGAGTGGCAAAAGTACCTCTGTTGAAAACTCATTTCTTAGGAGTTTTTTTGCTAACTGAGAAAAGAAGTTAAGGAAGATCAATTTCGCGAGGGAAACCCTGAAACTTGATTTATATGCATTTACAATGGTTTGTCAGTAACTGTAACGAACTAATTATAATTTCTCTAGGACAGGTGGTTTTGCCAGCGATCATCCTTTCTCTTGGCGTTTTGTTCTTATAAAAGCTATATTCTAACAAATCCATAAATGCATCAAAATTATACAGCCAGATACATAACATGTAGGGTTGTTCGTTTTTTATAAAATATTTATTCGTTGTCCCTTTCAGCTGGGAAGACGGCTTAGATTTTCTCATAGCTGTGTGACTTTCAATAGATATGTGACACATGACCAAGGAGTTAAGCACCTGTTGGTGCTTTCATCATCAATAGATTGGATGCCAGAGAATAGTGAAATCTCCGTAAACACGTAAGCAGAAACTAAACAACTACAACAGTCACTTTAAGTCACTGTGTCGTTACCAAGGGACCAAAAGCCTGATTTTACACATATAAAACAAAGGCAAATACAATAGAAAAGCCCCAAGCACAGGTATGGTTTTGACAAACCTAGAAACATAATTGGGGCGAACCGGGACTCTGCACAGCGAATTGCGGCGCCTTAGACGACTGGCCCGCCCGTAATCCCCCCTAATATGAACTACTACGCAGTTAATTAATATGAAGCTACACCTAGGATACATATTATCATTTTCTATGGACAGGTACTCTTGTCGAGTGTTGTCATTATTCCTGTGGCGGAAATCACTCACTCATTCACTCACCAGTCCTGTAATCCTGATAATCTCTTCAGCCATTGGGTATTTATACTGACATGTAATCATTCGCATTGTGTATTCAATTTTATATTTGGGTATCCAATATTTTCTTACTCCTTTGTGTCAAGTCTACTGGGTGTTTTTACCAATGACATTATTCACTGCTGCAGGGATCATGTATTTATGTAGCCTGCATTCGATCAGCATGCAATCCTCATATCATCTGCCATTAGTATGTTCTGATTAGTGCAACAGTCAATCCCCCTGCATGGAATTGTCTTATAGACACACAATATAAAACTTATGAATATACTGCCAGCCGACTGGTGTCCAACATCAGTATCGCAATGACTAAAAATATTTCACGGTGGCCCTATATTCAAGTCGAATATATAAGGGTTCCATTTCCTTACATCCTTAAAGTGTATTTCCTGTAAGTCTGTGTGTGTGCGTGCTGCATATACAACCAGGGAGTTTAATTTGGTGGATATTTAAAATCTGTTGACAGCCACTGAACTTACTTATATTGGAGATTTAACGTGCGCTTTCCGACTGCAAGCGTATGTCGCACACGGGCCCGGCCAGGCCATTTAATGTGTTTCCAAAAAGGGGAAAAGTGAGTTTGTGCAACCCAGGAGGGGGGCTTTAGGGGTTGCTTATATAGTAATTTTGAAATTTTGAGATTTGGAAAGAATGCCAAGAGTGGATGTGGGACGAACTAAGGGAGCTGTGTGTGTTGGGTGGTTGTTAGATAAGGTAGTTTTGGTTTTAATATTTTATTTGGGATTTAAATGCGACTAATTAGTCCTGTTTTAATTAGGTATATGCCTAAGGCTTTGAATTTTTCTAATTTATTTTGTGGATTTAGGATTGATTCTAGTGTAAGTCCGGTTTTAAGATTTAGGGTGGTCTGTAGTGTTGTTCGGTGTGTTTGGTAGTGTGTGCAGTGAATGAGTACGCGTTCTGGTGTTTCTTGTTGTTTGCAATGTGGGCAGTTTCCTGTTGTGTGTAGATTAGCTATTTTACGGTGATTATTTAGTTTGGTGTGGCCTGTTTGTAGCTTAGTAATTAATCTGTCGATTTTTTTGGATGGGTGTAGTATTTTTGGTTTATTTAGGGGTTTAGTGACACTTTTGTTTCTGATTTTGAGCTGGGTAAGTATAAGCTTATTTCTGGGAGTTTAAGGGATAATTTTGCTGCTTTATCTGCCTTTTCATTTCCAAAGATTCCTACGTGGGCGGGGATCCAAATGAACTCTATTTGTTTACCTGCCTTAGTTAAGTTGTTTGAGCTATTGAGTATTTGATTTATTAGTTTGGGGTGGTTTTTAGTGTTTTTATTTTTGAGGGCTTGTAGTCCACTAAGGGAGTCGGTTAGGATGAGGATTTTTTGGTGTTTTTTAGATTGCTGATTGTGTAGTGCTGAGGCCATGCCCATTAGTTCGGTCGTAAATATGGATTGGTTGTTTGGGAGTCGGTAAGATTGTGTGTTTTTGGTGGGTTGTGCGATGTGGACTCCGAAACCTGTGTGTTTTGAGATCGGATCGGATCTATATGTGACACCAATTTGGCCAATTTTCATGTATGTATGCTAGTGTGGTGGTTTTAGCGATGTTAGGATCGGTCTGTTTATTTAGTGTTTCGGCTAGTAGCGTGTCTATTTTTGGTATTTTAAGTTTTGGAGTAAAGATATTGGATGATTTATTGTTTTGTTTAAGATTATTTATTTTGTGTTCATTTAGGTAATTGGTTATTCTTTGGGAAATTGGAGTAAGTAGTGGATGTTTCCGGGCTAGGGCCTTGTTTCTAGGGCTAACATTGTTTTTTATTAAGTTTTCGATTAGAGGGTTTGATTGGGACGCGGCCCAGAAGTTTAGGGTAAGTTGTTCCTTACGTAGTTTAAGTGGCATTTCTCCTGTTAAGGCCTGGAGTGAGGTGGAGGAGGTGCCATGTTGAGTTCGTGTGATTAGTTTTAGGGTTTTAGTTTTTTAATGAGAGAGTTGTTTAAGGTGTCGTAAATGGCAGTTTGGATCTAATTAGTGATATATAGAGTGAGAGGAGGGTGTTTTTATAGGCCCCCCAGTTGGAGCCGGTTAGGCATCTTAACGTGTTTAGGTCTTTGCTGCATCTGGTTACTAGGTTTTTTATGTGAGCATCCCAGGTGAGATGTTCATCGAAGATTAATCCTAAGAATTTGGTTTGTTTTTGGAATTTGATTGGTTTGTTGTTTAGTTGGAGGTTTAGGGAGGCGGGTTGCATATTTTTGTGTTTAAATACTATTCCTGTGTTTTTTTCTGAGTTGAGGGAGAAGCCCCATTTGTCAGCCCATTTTTGTATTTTATTTAGAGATTTTTGTAGTAAGTTTTGGGCCATTTTAATGCTTTTAGTGCGGATCCAGAGGGCTCCATCATCCGCGAATTTTGATGTGCTTACTTTGGGGGATAGTCCCTCGAATAGATCGTTAATCATAATATTGAAGAGTGTTGGGCTTAGGATGCTGCCCTGGGGAGTGCCATTTTCTAGGGGACATTGGTCCGATAGCGTTTGGTCTATGCCCACGGTGATTTTGCGGTTTGTTAGGAAACTTTGGATGTAGTTAATTATTTGACCTTTAAGACCTATTTTTTTTAGTTTTTGTATTAGCTCGTTATGCCAAACCATGTCGAATGCTTTGGA